TGAAAAAGCAACCGATGAGGAAATAAATTCTTTTTACGAAGACGTTAAAATAGCTATAGACAACAACAAAGAATCCAAAATCATAATAATGGGAGACTTTAACGCCAAAATTGGAAGTAAGATTGAAAACTTTGGATTCGGCACAAGAAACACAAGAGGACAAAAACTCATGGAATTCCTGGAACAAGAAAACATGTATATTATGAATACCTTCTACAAAAAGAAACCTAACAGAAAGTGGACATGGGTCGCACCTAACGGAACTACCAAAAATGAAATAAACTATTTTCTCTCAAACAACAAAGGAATATTTGAAGACGTCACAACAATAAACAACGTAACAACGGGCAGTGACCATCGTATAGTCAGAGCAAAAATAACTATTAACATGAAAGAAGCGAGAAAAAGGATTTTTAAAAAGAACAACGGGGATATATGCCTTTAAACTAAGAACAAATAAAGAGCTATTCCGAGAGGTCTTAGCGGATAAGTTCGAATCTGATCCTTCACATAATCAAGATCAAATTGAAGAGATTAATAAAAACCTAAATAAAAACCTTCTCGCAGCAGGACTACAGGTCGCAAAAAAACAAGGACTAAAGAAGACAAAATAAGCAATGAAACTAAACAGTTAATGACGGAAAGAAGACAACTACTTAGCGCAAAACAAACGTCATACTCAAGAATATAGAGAACTTAATAAAACAATTAGAAAAGAACTAAAACGCGACATACAAAAATGGAACGAGAACTTAATAGATGGAGTCATTGAAAACAACAGAGGCTTAAAATGTCCAAGACTTGCACTGGGAGTTCAAAAAATCATCAAAATTAAAGACGCTAACAATAAGGTAGAGAAGGACAAATATAAAATAACAAATATTGTCGAACGCTTCTACACATCCTTGTACAGCTCGCAAGGCCAGCCTAATGAAACAACAAAGGAGAACGTCAAAAGAAAAATAAAAAACGTGGATCAGAAGTACTACCACATATAAAGGGATACGAAATAGAAAAAGCTTTAAAAGAACTAACAAATAATAAAGCTCCAGGACACGACCGTATAATTGGCGAGCTCTTGAAAACAAGCAAGACATTAACAATCCCTGTACTAACAGAGCTATTTAATAGATGTCTCCATAATAGCCAGATCCCTAAAGACTGGAACGAGAGTCTAGTAATACTCTTACACAAAAAAGGGGACAAATGTGATCTACAGAATTATAGACCTATATCGTTGCTCAGTCAAGTATACAAACTATTCATGAGAGTTTTTAATAAACGGTTAACCTACAAAATAAATAATTACCAACCGGTTGAATGGCTTCCGCAAGGGATATAGTACATCAGACCATCTGCTGACAATGAGAAAATTGATAGAGAAGGCAAATGAATACCAACTACCCGTATTTCTTGCCTTCGTCGACTATGAAAAGGCGTTTGATAGCATCTAGATGTGGGCCATAGAACAAGCTATTGATAATTGTAGAATAGACTCGAGATATAGGCAACTAATACATAATATATATGAAAATGCAACTATGATAGTACAACTAGAGGAAAATACAAATCCCATCCCTATTAAGAGAGGAGTGAGACAAGGAGACGTAATATCGCCAAAGCTTTTCAACCTAGCTCTAAAGGACGTCTTCAACACTACAAATTGGTCAACCTATGGCATTAACGTTAATGGCAACAAGTTAAACCACCTCAGATTCGCTGACGACATAGTAATTATAGCGAGCACATTCGAGGAACTGCAAATTATGTTGGAGGAACTAGCAGCCAGCTCCCAATACGTCGGCCTAAAAATGAATATGAAAAAAACAAAAATAATGACAAACACAGAACACCCCAGATATATAACTATAAACGGCAGTGAGATAGAACAAATCCAGGAATATATCTGCCTAGGCTAAATCCTGAGACTTGACAAAGAGAACCAAAGTGCGGAAATTACTAGAAGAGCAAGACTAGCATGGGCAGGATTTGAAAAACTTAGTTGGATACTTAAGAACCGCAAAATACCCCAATACTTGAGGAGCAAAGTGTTCAACCAATGCATCCTTCCTATCATGACATATGGATGTTCAAATCTGGACCCTAACCAAGGCAAACATAAATAAACTAGCCACAACAGAAAGAACAATGGAAAGAGCAATGTTAGGTATATGACTGTCAGATAAAAAGAGGAACGACTGGGTAAGATCCAAAACAAAAGTCGAGGACATAACAATAAAAATTGCAAAACTTAAATGGAGCTTCGCGGGCCACACTGCTAGACAAAAAGACCAACGTTGGAATACTACAAAACAACATTGGAGACCTTACGAAAGATATCGACCAAGAGGAAGACCACAGATGAGATGGGTTGATGACATTAGAAAAATAGCCGGAACAAATTGGAAATATGTTGCTCAGGATAGAGACCGATGAAAGGAGTTGGGAGAGGCCTATGTCCAAACATGAACGACAGAAGGCTAAGAAGAAGAAGAAGAAAGAAATGTTTAGAGATAAGATGATAAGCCGAAACACAAAAATCAAAATCTACAAAACGACCATAAGACCAATAGTAGTAAATGATACAGAAACATTTAAAGTTTGTATAGAAACAGAGACAGAGCTAAATACGACGAAGAACGGTAAGGCTGTGGAGATTTGGAAGGCTCTACGAGAAGAAGAAATTGATATTTTGTAGCAAATGATAGTAGGATATATAAGGAAGAAAGCTAATATATTCTCTCCACAGCTCCTAACATATATCTCTATAGCATGATATCATATTTACTGTAAGTCCGTCTGTTGATTTCCAGGTGCCTTTTTGTATAACTTTTCGAGCGAAGTAAAAATTATACAGTCGCCTACAAAACTTTTTTGAAAGATATTTTTGAAATCAGAACATCAAAAATATTTAAAATTTGTTATTTATCAAGCACCAATTTTAGCATTTTGTTGGGTTGTGTTATCATTCCTGTTCCATACGTGCTAGTTAAACGTTTATTTTGTATTCCAGTTTTTCTTTTGACATAACTTTAAGTTTTTTATTGTCACTTTTCATTTTTCACTTTTCATTTCAAAACACATTTCAACATAATGTCAGAACATTTGCCTTTTGTTTTGTTTACTGCCGAATACATAGGATCAATTGGAGGATTGCATTAACAATATGATTCATGTAATGCATGACACGATGTATACTTTTTCCAAATAAAGACGTTTTGGCTAGATCGGTAGAGTATGCCTTTTAGAAGACATTATGTACTTACAGACCAAACAAGCATCTGTGGTTGCTATTACTCTTTCTATTGATAGACTAATAATTGAATATCCTTCTGAAATAAAAAGTAGAAATAATTAAAAAGTATAAATAATTAAAAGGTAAACTAATTTGAGTAATCTACATCTTTAGGTACAGTAAAGAGGCTCATTAAAAATCTATCGAATACAACAAACCTCTTGTACTCGCTTTCATAGATTTTTATAAAGCGTTCGACACGATCGAAATAGACAGCCTTAAAGATGCAATGAATGACAGCGAGATTGACCATAGGTACAGTAAACTTATTTACAATATTTACAAAAATGCCACAATTACAATATTTAGAGAAGCCACAGATGTGTTAAATGAATTGAACTTTGCATGTTCGAAGGTGGGCCACAGAATAAATTTGACCAAAACTAAGTTTATGACAAATATGGTCTCCAATAACCATTTAACTATTCAAGACAAAGTGGTAGAAATGGTGGAGGAATATACGTATTTGAGTCATTAAATAATAATAAGCAGGGATAACCAAACGAGAAATCCAAAGACGAATTACTTTAGTGTGGGCTGCCTTTGGAAAACTGTGAGACACACTTAGGGCCAACATACCAATTAGCCTCAAAATAAAAGTATTTGACCAATGCGTATTACCGGTCATGATCTATGGCGCGGAAACTATGACACTAACCAAGACTATTGCTTTGAAATTGAGAGTGGCACAGACACGAATGGAACGGACCATGCTGGGAGTGACGTTGCGGGAGTGAATAAGAAACGATCTGCGAAGAAGGATGAGTATTTACTGGTGTGGAACGCATAGCGGAACTAAAATGGAACTGGACAGGTCATGTAGCGAGAATGTATGGTTCACGATGGACGAGTAAAATTAGATTAGAAGCCAAGAGCAGACAAACGTAGCAGAGGAAGACCACCTACACGTTGGGCTGACGACATCAGGCATATCACCAAAAATTGGCCAGTGGACGTGATAAATGAAGGCTGGATTATGATGATGACATCTTCAGGTATATAGTCGACTTCCGCTCATCCGCTCAGTCTATACATTAAAAATGTCAATGAAAACTATGTCAATGACAATATAAACTAGATCTAATGTATTATTTTATTATTATAAGCAGAAATATAATATTCTATTATTACAATGTAAAGTGACCAGCAAGGAAACATATTTTCTTACGCGCCAGCAATGATCGAATTCAAAATTGTCGATAATTCATGATGGACACATGATTTCGGCTACATGTACGGTCCGTGGTTTTGAATGACTAATTTCATTTTTTATTTAACAGATTATATTTGGCGTTCAATTTTTTATCCCCTACCCTAAGCCAAAATGAATTTTAATTTTATTTTTTTGACTATCTTTCGCTAATTGAGATAAAAGAAATATACAGTTATCAAATTTCGGGTTGCCTCCATACTAAATTGACTTCATAAATGGCACTAATACTGAGTAAGCAATAAATGAATGGCAGCGAAAGTGTTAATTGATAAAAAAAAAATAAAAAGATTTCTAGGATAAGATTAAAACATTGTTTCATTCATATAACGTAAATTTATTTGTGAGAGCCTACTACTAATCACAAAGAGCTCCTCTTTGCCATCAAATTGACCTAAATACCGGTGAGAATTTTTAAAAACTGTACGCAAATAGATCGCAGAACGGGAAGTTGATCACTTACTTGTATAATTCTATTTTTAACGCCAACACAACATTGCAATTGCGGCGTAACGAATGAGCCTACAAAGTGATATCAAACGCTAAAAATACCTGTAAAAAAACGCAAAATTTGGAGTTTTGACAATAAAATCGTAAGTAAACATGTCGGAGGAGAACAAATGCCAAGTGTGTCAAAAACCAGCGGACCAGCGATGCGGTGGATGCCATTCAGTGCATTACTGTTGTAAAGAACATCAGAAGAACGACTGGAAACAACATAAGAAGCACTGCAAACCCTTTAAGGTACTTCCTTGTTATTTAATATATATCTGCTTTTTTTACATAAGCCGATTCATTCGATGAACATTTCTATTTTAAACTGATTAATGTGGTAATGTGCATTTTTAAACGTTCGTGGGAATATCATTTAATAGTTTTCACGAAAGACAAGATTATTGTAGGATGATTTACATTCATAAATTGAATATAATATAATATAATTATAATATAATATAATTATAATGAATATAATTCAATTAAATATCTGGGAGTCTGGTTGTCGGAAGGTCTAAGGTTCGGAGTTCACATCCAAAAGACAGTAGAGAAGGCGAACCGAAATCTGGAAGCGTTGATACGGCTGATGCCAAACATAGGAGGCCCAGGAAGTACCAAAAGAAAGGTGCTAAATGGAGTTTTCCAGTCGATAGTAACCTATGCTGCCCCTGTGTGGTGTAGTGTACTAAACATTGCAAAATACGCTAAGCTGATGGAGACTTCGCAAAGGCGAATGCTCCTCAGGGTGTCTAGTGCATATAGAACAGTCTCGAATGAGGCTCTATATGTCATTGGAGCTGTGATACCGATCGTTTTATTGTGTAAAGAGCGAACGAGGATGTATGCGAGGAGGATGGATGTAAATATACATGAGAATGAAAGAGAAAGAACGATAATAGAGTGGCAGAGAGAATGGGCGAATGATAGTGGAAAGGCAAGGTGGACGAAGGAGCTAATTCCCGATCTGAGACCGTGGTGGGAATGTAAGTTCAGGAAACTAGACTACTTCCTGACGCAGTTTCTGACCGGACATGGTAGTTTTGGCACCTTCACAAATAGAATAGGCAAATCTGCCTCGGCAGACTGTACTGTTTGTGCGGTACCGGATGCTCCCGCCCACATTTTTAACTGCCAGAGATGGGTAAATGAGATGGGAGATTTCGAGAGGCGAATGGGTTTCGGGCTGGATGAAAGAAATATTGTAAATATTATGTTAAGAGGAGAGAAAGAATGGAGAGAAGTACACTGTCTGATTTCTGGGGTGATGAAGAAAAAGGAAGAGGAGGATAGAAGAGGAAATTAAGTCAGGGATCTTAAATTTATAGTTAATATTATTTATGGTCTAACATTTTCTGATTTACGGTAATAGGTATGGTTATGTATAAATTTTAGTTGTTTATTGAGTGGCAAGACCATCTCTCTGGAACGGTGGTTAAGGTTTTAGCCGGAACACGGTTAATCCGGCACTACCCTGATGTCTTGTGGCTTAGTATCCCACTGTGCCAAAAGATACCAGGGTGTCTTGTTCCGTGACGTAGAGGTCCAAAAAAGATTTCCCCCACCGTTGCCTGTCAGAATCTAATGGATACCTTCTTAGGCTCTTACTGGATTCTGGCAATACGGCAATAAAAAAAAAAAAAAAAAAAAAAAAAAAAAAAAAAAAAAAGTAAGTTTTCGTTCCATCATTTTCGTGGTCTTCCTACAGATCGTCGTCCTATTGGGGAACCTTATCTTGCTGTCTTTACTACTCTATTTGATGTCATTCGGCTTATATGATCGTTCCATTTTACTCTTTTATTCATTACCCAGTTTTGATGTTCTCCATCTTGCACCCACGTCGTATATCTGTACTTCTATCTCTGTCTTATAGTGTCTTACCATGAATTTATCAAATTTTCAAAAGAAAATATAAATAAAAGCAACGAAAAATCGTAAGATAGACTCAAATATGATAAATTGTCCAAATTGTAAGATAAAAGTAATGTTGATAATCTTAATGTTAATAACTATTTAAAGAAAAATAGCAAACATGTGACGTTAAAACATGTGACGTTAAAATTTTACAAATTAATGGTTTAGGATATGACTTGATATTGGCTTCTGGGTATGTCTTGAATGATGGTACGGAATCGTTTATTAATATTAATATAATATATTTAATTCCTCATTATATTATCTAGAGAATCCTGAGATCATTTCCAGGTGGGCAATCTCCTGCATTTAGGTTTAAAATAGGTATTAGGAAAGTACTATCATATTTCTTAGAGACTCAATAATATTCAGCTCAGCTGGGAGATGTTGTTTGATGTGAGAAATTCCATAAACAAGGGATCTACCTATTTATAAAATGGTCCATTGTTTATGTAATTTCACACCACCAACAATAACACCCTGCTGAGCTGAATATTGACGAGTGTCTGAGAAATATGGTAGTACTTTTTTGTTTATTAATGGAAATGGTTTATTAATAACAGAAAAATCTCGTCGGAGTTTTTTATTTCATATTAAAAGGGACATACAACATTGCAATTTGTGTGCGTTGAGTAATATATTACTTTATATTACTTTTTTAGCTATAGTGTGTGTGTATGTGTGTACCTATTTTGATTCTATAAGTTCAAATGTATGTCCTTCTGGTATGCATCAATCGATCAGCGTCATGAACTTATTTCTCATCGTACCACTCATCCATTGGCTTACAAGATTTACTCGAGAACTGCAATTCAAATCTCCATATTTACTTAAAATTTTAAACTACTACGTTTTAAAAATTTCTTTATGGAGCGTGGTTCAAACTGAGTAGGTACCTGCTATACTACTTACATTGAGATGAGTTCGACAAAGGATATTTTTGTATTCCTTTTGATTTGTTCTGGATGATCACGTCCATATATCAGTACTTTATTATCTAATTCCTATATATATTTATGCATTTATTTCTTTTTTCTTATATTACTTTTCTCTGTTTAAAGATGATTCTTGAAATGTGTAATATGGTTAATGTTCTACACAGGTTATTAGCAACCATAATTACTATCAACGTCAAACAAAAATAGATTGAAAAGACATTGAACTAAAATCGCAAACAAACTCGACACTTGTTTTGATATCCTGATTAATAATAAAAATGTAAAAAAATCTTTATTTTTAAATATACGAAGTGACATAGTAAAAAGGGTACCCAGTAATATTAAATTTATTATAACAATTTTTTACATACATGTCTCTTATCGTTAGATAAGTAATTGATCAAAATTTCAGAGAAATCTAACTTTTGGTAAACAATTAATAATGTTTTGAACACCCATGATGTCTTCTACACTCAAAAATGTTTATGGACTTTCTTCTTATGAAATAATGGCTTTCTTCTTAAGGTATATTATCCCAGACTACTTGCACCTCGTGCCAACGATGGTAGTGGTGAAGATGGAGGATAAAGTAAACGGAATAATCTTTCAATTCATTCAATATCCCATTCGTGTTCAATAGGTAAAATATCACGAAACTAAAAAGCCAATTCAAAAAATCGATTTGATGTTCTTAAACATGGACAAACATTATTCTGGCTTTATGCGGGCGCGAATTGTATTGTTGAAAAAGTGGGTTAAGTAACATCCCTATAGAAAGCAGAGCATGTTAATCCAATACTTCCTAGATATAACGCACGGCGGTCATGTTACTTCTAATGACCACCAAAGCTGCCATGATCACCACTACCACCTGCTTCCATAAGCAGTAGCCTTCTATACTATAATTCCAACAGTGTGATTCACATAAAAAATTGAGGATCTCGTCTTTTACCACGTCTTCTTCTTACTTTTGCACGGTCATCATCCATTGCTAAACAGAATATGGATTCATCCTTAAAGACAATATTATTCTGTTCGAGGTGGTAGTTTGGCCCTTCTCTGCACAAGTCGATCACTTTGGTTCCTATGAGTGAGAGGTATGGCAAAGTGAGGACGGTATGCAGTAAGTCCAAAACTTGTGATTCGGTATTAAATATTCTCATTATAATGGGCAAACATTATAATGGGCTTCTCATATACTTGAAACCACTAGTCTGCAATTGACCTTGTGGACGTGAAATGGCCCAGTACATGCAAAGGTCTGGCTATTCATGGAACTCAAATTAGAAATTTTAAAAAGATCCTAACAGGGTGTAAGGAAATTGCTAATGATCTTTTATGATGTAATTAGATAGACTCAAAAATGATCAATGGTTATAAGACAAAAGTAATTTTTAAACATATAAATAAATGAGCAATTAACTATTTAAATAGTAGCATATCTGACATGGCTTATAAATTAAGGAAGGAAAAAAAATCAAATATTGTTGAACAAAAAATGGTAAACTCTATTTGAGAAAATCTAAGAATTAGGAACCAATTTATATCCATAATTAAGAAATAATAAAGAAATTATTATAGGTCAGTGACAGTTATGGTGTTTTTAAATTAAAACTGGCTAATGAATATAAACTAAGAATTCAATTTAGATTAAATAAAGTTCAATGTAGTAATAGTACTGATTTTGGTAAACTTTACTTAAATGCTCAATCAATAAGGAATAAAATTCTAGAACTGGAAGATTGCTACATGTAATTGTAGTGGCTGAACACTATTTGAGAGCTGGTAAAAAACCATATTTAAATGTGGATGGATATAAAACAATCTGGATGTTTGGAGACATCACTAGACTAGACCTGATACAGGAAAGATTACCTCAAAAATGAATTAGTCAAGCAATAATTTCCAATGGTTTTATAATGTTAAATAAAATTGTTCTTACGAGAACTGCGTGCCACTCAGCCACTTGCATTGATTACATAGTGAACAACACCTTAAATTATAATGCTAAACTTTATATAGTACATGAGGGTTTAGATGATTACCAAATTCAGTTTGATGAACTTAAAATTAAAAATGACAAACTCATCATGTAAGTCTACCAAGAAATATTACACGGTAACAAATATATCTTAAGGTGCAAGAAATTCGATATAGGGCTATTTTATAGAGAAGAAGAAACTTTTCTGAAGATGCTTCCTTACATTGGTATATATTTAAGGAGAAAAATTAAATGTAAATAAAGAATATTTGTGCTAAAAAAATATTTATTTATAAAAAAATATGGCATAATTCAAAAATTGAAAAAAATAGAAAGTATCATTGTTGATAAAAAATAGTTATAACAAAAAAATATTTATGTTACTCAAAAGAAAGATTTCACGTATACTGCCTCTGTATATTCGCTTATACGTATTTCATCGTAACAGGATTCATCAGAGCGAGAATTTACAGAAGCTCTAAACTTAAACATAATCTTTCCTGTCGAAAAGAAAGCAACAATAAAATGGATTCAGTATTGACACTACAGCAACATCTGATAATAAATCACGAAAGTAGAAATCCGAAGATTTTTATTTACAAAACCAAAATCTAGATTTTTGCTTTATTCTGTACCTTCTAAGAATTGCAAGGCAAAACAGACGTTGCTAAAGCTAATAAGATAGAAATTTGGAATCTAACGTTGGATTCCACAACATATCTCCTCAACTAAGCAGAAATCCTTGTCGAATTGGTTTCTTGTACCCATAAAAAATATAAGAGTAGATGCCTTATTTACATCTTTAGCAACGTCTGTTTTGCCTTGCAATTCTTTTTTTTTGCAATTCTTAGAAGGCACAGATTAAAGCACAAATCTCGATTTTGGTTTCGTCAATAGAAACCTTCGAATTTATTGAAATCGAATTTAGAAAATATTGTTTTCACGTTCAGAGCTTCTGTAAATAGTCGCTCTAGCGAGTCCTGTTAGGACGAAATACGTATAAGCACCGTATACCACCATACATGAAATCAAACCTTAACTGTCTTTTTTTATATCGATATACTCTTTATGAGTACAAGAAACCAATTCGCCAAGGATTTTTACTTGGTGGAGGAGACATGTTGTGGAATGCAATTTTATATTCCCAATTTCTCCCCTTACATCTTTATCAACGTCTGTTTTGCCTTGCAATTTTTAGTAGGCACAGATTAAACCAAAAATCTGGATTTTGGTTTCGTCAATAGAAATCTTTTAATTTGATAATTAATGATTTTTTTATATTATTTGTTAATAATACCTAGTATTTCCTTTTCTGACCCTTATATCCTATATACGTCTTATAATTATGGTATTTAAATTTTGAACATGAAGTTGGCACAATTCATTCCATATTGTCTGATGAGCCGCACTAAGTTCAGGCAAGTTATTTGGGCGCGGTACGCACACTTCCCAGTATGTCTCATACATGTTTGATTAAATTGAGGTCGGACAATCGCTTCAAAGTATTTATTGAGGATTCTAGCATGGTGAAGACGCGCGTTGCATCCATAAAAATCAAATTAGGTCCTATAAATGGTGCAAAAGGTACCACATGCTCAAATAAAATGATTGTTATATATCTTTCTCCTATCATAGAACCTACATTTTTAAGAACAAAGTCAGTACGGGCTTCGGAACTTATACCAGCCCAAACTATAACTGAGCTGTCTCGACAGGTTATTCTGTGGACAATATTGCATTGGGCAAATCGTTTTCTTTGTCCTCTCCAGATACTTTCTCGACCATTTGTGACCTCAAGTAAAACCTGGACTCATCCGAGAACAAAATATTACTCCAATCTGCGTAATTCCAAATTTTGTGCTCTAGGTTTCAACAACAAGTCGAGTTCTGAGATGTTCTACGGACAGCTGTGAACATAGGGCTGGTCTTCTGAATAATAAATTCGCTTCATAAAGTCGTCTGTGATCTGTCCATCTACTAACATATATATATATTTCGGACTTCTTTCAGTCGATTTGCAAGCCCAATTAAAGTTAGATATCTATTTCTTAAACAAGACGAAACCAAATATCCATCAGAGAATGCGGCTGTTGCTCTTCTACGGCCTGGTCCTGACCTAGTATAGTTGCCGTTTTGATTGAACCACCGAGTGGCCCTTAAAACAACACAACGACTTACACCTAGCACCTAGGCCTAATAATATTGGCTACGACCATCTTGCAATAAAGCCACTGCTCTTGCAGCATCCGCTGGTGTTAATATCATTTTACTTTAATAAAAAATTGTGACCTCAAAATGTTTTAATACCAAATTCGTCTGGTTATTAAAACCAGTACGATAACAATTTCTTGCCGCTTATCGAACCACTGCACTTGCACCACTATTTAAATAAAGAGCAATTTATATATCAAATAAATATTCTGGGACAACAAATCTGGAGTGAACCAAATTTCTTGTGCGACGAAATCATCAGATTTACTTAAATATCCTTGGTATAAAAACAATAAAATTGTTTTTCGGCAAAACAGTGGACCTTAGTTTAATATTACATTACATAACCTTGTTTTAAAACGAGATTTCCACTATAGGCATAGCCAGTTTCCAAATAGCAAGTTCCTGCAGGATATCTATTAACCTGCACAAAAAGAGTTAATTGATGCCGTATCAAAAGCAAAAAAAGATTATTTCTCAAATAAATTATTAGAGGCACAAAACAACAGCAAAAATATGGTTGACATTAATTCATACTATCCACAAATCAAAACATAGAAAAAAAGACAGTAACAATTCATGAGTTACAATATCATAATTCAATAGAGCTGAGGACATATCTAATAAATTACATTAGTTCGCAGGAAAATTTCTAGCAAAAACACACACCTCTTTCATCAAAATCTCCAGTAAATATAGAGCCAAGAAAATACAATGCATCAAGGATCATAAAACTATATTAGAGAGGTCATAAGAACACTAAAAACAAAAAATCTCCAGATTGCAATGGCTGTAGTGTGTATATTATTAGAAACATTACAGGAGAACTGCTACCAATAATATCTAAATTGGTTAACCTTTTTCTTACCACTGGATTTGTCCCAAACTCTACGAAAACTGCGATAATGGTACCATTGTATAAAGGAGGGGACTCAAAGTAACCTGGAAGTTATCGGCCAATATCTCTTTTAACAGCCATATCAAAGATTTTGGAATTATGTGTAAATACTAAAATTGTAAAATTCTTTGATTCATCCAGATGCTGGTTTAAAAGGCAATATATTTTTAGACACAATTCAAGCACAGTCTCTGGTGCTACTTATTTAATTATAGACATATAGAACAAATTAGACAAATGATTGAGTTGTGTATTTGTATCACTGGAATTACAAAAAGTTTTCGATACAGTTGACCATAACATACTTATTTTATGCTTAAACAATATGGAATAACTGAAATGGCGTAGGTTTGCTTAATCGACTATTTGAGTAGCAGAAATCAACAAGTGCTATATAATAATGTGCTACGCGCAGCAGATGATATTGCATGTGGAGTTCATCGAGGGTCTATATTGGGACCAACACTTTTCTTGATTTATATGAATTCATTATTCAATTTACCGCTGCAGTCCATGTATGCTGATGACAGGTCTTCTGTATGCCAATAAAAATCCCAAAATCCCAAAAAATTATAAAAATGTAGAAGTGGACTTAATAATAAAAATAGGTTAGTGACTTGGGTATCGAAAATTCTTATTTCTTGATGCCTTGACTAACAACAAACCACCACCATATTGATATTTTTGTATGTATACCTTTGTGGTTATTTCTCTAAGGGACAAATCGACCTCACGCAAGCTCGCTAGTCACCCCTTATAAACTCGACATGTTGTTGAAAATGTGCTCGTCTTCTCAATCTATGCATAATGAACATGTTAAAGCAACTCTTTACAACATATTGTACGATGATCAAATCTCAATTTTATCTACGATATACATCATATACATCATACACATATTTTTTTTGTAAGAATCTGTTCTTAATAAGGGTTCTTAGAGTTCTTAATATAGTAAGATACAAAAAACCACTTTATCGATATAGTTGAAAAACTAATCTTTTTTTGTCCAAACTTAAACAAAATATTTTTAAAATATTATTTTCTATAGGTTAGTTTAATTAAATTCAATATTAATAGCTTTTCTTTTTTCTATGTCACTAAGTATATAAAAGATTTTTGTTTATTATTATATCCTGGTCAATGAAACATATAATCAGCCTTTATCATTTACCAGATAATTTGTAATTTATAAATATCAAATATAATTGTTTGTTTATATATTTTGATAAGAGGTTTATACCATTATAGTTTTAGTAGAAACTATGCTAAATAACAGAAAAACATCCACAACTCAGTACAAAAAGTATTCTTTATTGCAGGTATGCACAGACGACGTTCTCGGTCGTCATTTAAAAGCCTTAAAAGACCTGAAACCAGGAGATGTGATCATCCAAGAAAATCCGCTAATATGGGGTCCTGCTATAAGTACAGTACCTGTGTGTTTAGGATGCGGACAAGAGGTGAACCAAAGAAATAGTAGACCATGTTCCAAGTGTGGATGGCCCATGTGTAGTGATTTGTGTGAAAAAGCACCTGCGCATATTCCCGAATGTAGATATACGTTTTTAAGAGGAGATAAAGTGAGTATTATTTTATTTTTGTTTTACAAAATTTACTTCATCGACAACATTATGTAGATACCATTTCAAAATTTGGCATAGAGGTTAATGTCTTTGAGAAATTGTGTTAAGGTGCTAAGTTGATTTGTTGCCAAAGGAGTAATTGATGAAAAGGCTTCTTTAGCATACTGGTCAGTACTTTTGTTTCCATCAACGCCAATGTAAGAGGAAGCCAGATGAGTGTAACCTTCATATCTCGAGCATGAATGGATTGGTACATAATATCGTGTATCATTTGTATTAGCGGTATCTTACTACTATTAGTGCTACCTCTTCTACTGTATAAGTAATCTAATATGTTTATCTAGTCTAATTACATGTTTTGCTTTAAGATTTCTACTTATTAAATTGAAATATTGTCGTTCCTGTTCTTTCTAGGTCAATATATACTTCTTTTTCTGATTGGTGACTTATCTCAGGCTATTATAACTATTCTATTTTCTGCCATTCTGCTTATGTAACTATTTCATTCTTTGTCTATGTCTAGTCCAGACGGAAAAACTAATAGTACATAGGATTATATAATTACAGACAAAAGCAAATTATTAAAAATGTCACTGTGCTCAATAAACTATCAGTAGAAAGCGACCACAGACCAGTAAGAGCTAGAGTTACGATAAACCTACAAAAAGAAAGGGCAAAGATGATAACCAGTCGCAAACGCATAGTTTGGAATTCACCAAATCAACCAAAAGCATACATAAAAAATATAGCCTAAACTTTACAGAGTAATAATCCCAAATCTCTAAGTATCGACGATCACAATAAATGACACCAAAAGTGTAAAGATTAGCAAAGATACAAAAGCTCTCATGGAAATACAACTAAACCTAAGCGAGAACAAAAAGGGAAACAAAGAAGAATATAGAAAACTAAATAAAAGAATTTCAGCGGAAATTAGAAAATATGTAAGAAGATAAAATACTAATGTAATTACTCAAACGGTAGAAGAGAACAAAGGTTTAAAGATAATGAAAAGAAAACACATACAAAGTGAAAAATAAATATACAAGCTGAAAGATAAAGACGGAAAGGCAACAAAAGATAAACAAAGACATCCTGAAAATAACCAGAGAGTTTTCTAAAGACCTCTATACCAGCCAGAGACTACAAGACAATATCCCGACACCAGTAAAGACTCTCATAAATCAGGGTTCGGAAATACTTTTTCCCATTACTGTGTTAGGAGTAAGAGCAGCTTTAAAGAAAATGAAGAACCATCGACCGCCTGGTGATGATGGACTCATTATTGAGGAAAAAAAGCAGGAAGAGAAATTCTATTAAAATCAGTAAGCGAACTGTATAATAAATGCTTACAAGCGGGTACGATTCTAAAAGACTGGAACAATGTAGTAATGGTCTTGTTACACAAAAAAGGCGATAATACTAAATTAGAAAATTATAGACCCATCAGCCTCTTTATATAATATGTATAAACTCTTTATGAAAATCTTAACAAAGAGACTAACACCTAAACTTGATTTCTACCATTCTAAAGAGCAGGCAGGCTTCAGGGCAGGATATGGCACAAATGACCATTTGCATACCATAAAGACCTTAATAAAAAAGTGCATCGAGTACAACATACCACTGGTTCTTGCATTTGTCGATTTCGAAAAGGCTTTTGATTCTGTAGAGTTTGAAATAGCACTGAAAGCCCTAAATCAAAGCCGAATAGATTACGGGTGCACGACACTAATCAAAAACATCTACGAGAACGCTGCATCAAGTATACGACTACACGAAGACGCAAAAAAATTCAGCTTAGGTCGATGAGTTAGACATATTTTATATAGACTATTTTCATATATAGACTATTTTCACCAAAATTGTTTACGGCAGCTCTTGAGTCAATATTTAAGAACACTCATTGGCAAGATATGGGCATCAATATAAATGGAGAAAGATTAAATCATCTAAGGTTTACAGATGATAGTGCGTTAATTGTAGATATCTTACATGATACAGTTTCTATGATACATTCGCTTAAAAGTTTGTCTGAAAGAGCAGGATTAAAGATAAACTTTAAGAAAACTAAACTTATTACAAATCTCATAATGAGTGGAAATATAACTATTGACAATAATACCATACAACAAACAGACACTTACAAATATCTGGGAACCGAGATCAAAATAAGCAAAGACAAACAAACATATGAAATACAGAGGCGAATAGGCCTGACATGGGCAGCATTTCGCAAATTAAGCCATATTCTAAAAAGTTCAATTCCCATGTGTCTCAAGCGAAAGGTGTATAACCAATGTGTTTTGCCTGTACAAACTTATGGAGCAGAGACCTTAACACTCACGCAAAAATCTGGGAATAAACTCGAGTTACACAACGAGTCATGGAACGTGCAATGCTGAACGTGAGCCTTCGAGACCACATAACAAACCAACAAATCAGGCAAAGATCAAGATGTCATTGAAAGAACCACGAGGTTTGAGTGGAACTGGGCAGGGCACTTAGCCAGAATACAAGATGGACGGTGGACAAGACGTATTATGGAATGAAGGCCTAGAAACTATAAAAGAAGCCGAGGACGATCACGACTAGATGGACCGGTGATATAAAACGTGTAGCGGGAAACTGGTTACAAGCGGCCCAGTGTAGAGAACACTGGAAAAAACTGAGGAAGGCCTATGTAAAGCAGTGGACGCGATTGGCTGATTGATGATGATGATAATATAATATGAAGTGGAAACGTCTTCTTTTGGTGTCAGTAGAGCAGCTTGTAGGCAAAACAATTAACTTTTATAAGTAACTTACATTCTATTTGTCAAATGTTTTTAGCTCCTGGCTAAGATTTCTCCTGATGATGGTTATTGTAAGCATCTTCTAGGGCTATTTTTTCTTCTATGCTAAAATTTTGGTATTTTTCACAATACTGATATTGATCTATTTTGAGAGAAAATAATGCATAGTTAAATTCATAATTAAAAAGTATATGATATAAACCAATTTTTACAAATTCATTATTGTCTCTTTGGCAATCAAATTTATAATTATTGTATAGATCTGTTAATGGTTTACCTCCTATAATTTTTTTGGGGTACTCTTTTTAAGGTAAATTACTCTTGTTATTGTTAGAATTATTGATACTAAAAGAACTTTACCAAAACATAGTTAAATGTAAAATTAACGTATACAGTTAAACACAATTTAATTAAAAACTTCACGCTAATAAAGATCTGCTGTTTAACTATCACCTAAAACGCCCTAAAAGAGACCATCATCTCTTTGCGAAGCGGTTAATGGAAAATAAAATGGGTTTATTTTTTGTTTAAAGCGGTAGATGTAAACAAAAAATCGTCTAAAGTTTTCTACTAAATCGATTATTTGCAATCATCATCATCATCAATGGCGCTACAACTCTTCGTGAGTATTTGCCGCGTTTACTATTGCCTTCCATGTTTGTCGGTCCTGTGCCAGTAATTCCCATTCTCGCACTCCCATCTTCTCTAGATCTTCTCTGAATGCATCTTTCCACCTTTTTCTAGGCCGCCCTACAGACCTTCTTCCATCTGGCCTTTCCCAGAACATATTGTTTATAAGCAATTTGCAATCATACACTAAAATAAACTTGATATTATTACTTACGTTACTCCTGTTCGAGAAATAATTAATTCACTTCTTTTTTGATAACCGTTTGGATCTGACATTTTTAAAACAATAAATTTATTCCTTTTATTTAATGTAAAACAACTCTAAAATTTTCACTGATACAGTTTGAAAATATCTAAAATTGTCTGATATAGTGGTTCAACTCAAAAGTGCCGGTATTGCATAGAAACTCGATATCAACACGGTTCGACTACCACTATTTATTCCAACTATGACAACATGTCATAGCGACACAGTTTTACAGGTCATCAATAAGGCTTTTTCAAGCCTTCTGTTGATTAACTCATTTTTGTCAATTTTTGAGTTAAGCCACTATTGCATACAGTCTATGATATCATTATGCACATATTCTAGAAAAAACACCAGTTTTTATAATCCTAGCGTTGCGATAAAGAACGTCAAAATGGTAGGAACTACTCAAATTGAAACAATTAGAAATAAAAAAATTTGGGTAGTAATAATGATCAACATCATACATTATAAAAAACATAATTCTTATAATTATGTTTCAGAATTCAATGTTTTAAATAATAATTTTGTTTTTTTCTTGTTAATGTAGGAAGTATTAGTAAAATCATTTTTGTCCGATTTTAATAAGTATAAAAATCTAAAATTAATTGCAGATAAATTTCGCATTAACCAATACAACATAAATATAGACATGATTAAAAAAAATCAACTTGTGTTTTTCAATTAATAATATGTTACTGATTTGTATATACACTACTAATTTTTAGAAGTGATTGTCGGTAAGACAATAGATACAATCAACACCTGCCAGAGCTGTCAGCATTCACAGCCTTACAATCACATGTTTTAGCAAGCTAATAATAACAGATAGTTTTTAACACAAAAATATTTTCATTGCTACTAATCAGTGGCGTAGAACAAAAGAGATGCAGAATATATCTAGTCATAAAAAATAATACTTCATAATAACAGTATGGTCATTACTTAATTACTTCTTCTTCATGTAGTATTGTTGTACCCCAATCCTAGATAAAAATCAGCTTTAACATTATCCTTTCATCTTTTCCTGGGACAGCCTACTGATCTTCTACCCCATCTGGTCTCTCAAAAAACACTGTTTTTAGCTTCTGTCTTTCTCTGATCTTACCATATTACCTGACCATCTTATCTGGCTAGCGGTTATATGTCTGACGATGTTTTCAGTAACATAGAAACTCACCAATTCAGCATTACGGCGACCTCTTCACTCTCCTGTCAATTCATCTCTTTGAAGTTAAAGGAGATGTGTGAGGGTGTGATAAGGAAACTCCTTGTCTAAGTTTTGATGCTGTCGCGAAAAATCTGACAAAACTTGAAAATAAAAA